CCAAAATTTATAAAAAACTTATAAAATTCAACACCAAAGAGCAAACTATCAGTTAAAAAATAAGCAAAGGAGTTGAATAGACACTCCTCCCTGGGACTATTCCCAAAGAAATCTAAAATACTCATTCAAAGAATAAATGCACCCCTATTTTCATTGCAGCATTATTTACAATAGCCAAGATTTGGAAGCAGCCCAAGCACCCATCTGTAGGGAAGTGGAGAAAAAAGCCGTGGTACATTCACACAGAGGAATACTACTCAGCTATAAAAAAGAAGGAAATCTTACCTTTGCAACACCATGGATGGAGCTGGAGAGTATTATGCTAAGTTAAATAAGTCAATCAGAAAAAGACAAGTAACATATTATTTCACTTCTATGTGGAATCTAATGAACAAAATAAACTAAAAAACAAAATAGAAATAGATTCATAGCTACAGAATACAGATTGAAAATTGTCAGATGGGAGTATTGGGGGACTGGGTGAAAAAGGTGAAGGGATTAAGAAAAAAACAAACTTATAGACACAGACTACAGTATGGTGATTTCCAGAGGGAAAGTGAGGTGGGGGAAGATAGAAGAGGGTAAAAGGAAGATAAATGGTGATGGAAGGAGACTTGACTTGAGGTGGTAAACACACAATATAATAGATGATGTGTTATAGAATTGTACACATAAGATCTCTATAATTTTATTAGCAAATGCCCCCCCCAGCACAAATTCAATAAATAAAAGGAACAAAAACAGAAAGAACAAAATAAAAAAATTAAAAATGTATATAAAAGAAAAGCTTAGGAGATATTTTAGTATACAATCATGTATGTTTTTATGAAATTGAATTCCTTCTCCTGTGCCCAGCCTTGTTCTAAAAGCATCCATATGTAAAATCTCACTGATAAAAAAAATTCTATTAGCCAAAGTGATCTTTTAAGAGCTTATATTAGTCATGATTTCACTTGTTTTTTCTTACTAAATTCTTTACATTTATTGAGGTTAATGAAGTTTAATTACTATAAGAAATTGACAGAAGCCCTTATAAAATTCTCAAATTTTAAGAAGAGTTTACAAACAGATGCCTGTGATTTTTATTCAGCTAATCTGTTCTTGTTTTGGAGTATTGATCTGATGTGTCTATGATGAAAGAACATTATCACATGAAGTGGTTTGGTGGAAATTTTGTTTCCTTAACAACTGTTTCTTTTGGGTGAAAACTGAGTAACTTTTTTTCAGATTCTAAGGCAATGCAGTTCAACTACCACTACATGGTTTAATTTTAAATAATGACATTTTCTTATCAGACTATTGGTCTAAATGTAGTTTAACAAGATAGGTAAAAAAAACCACTTTATTTTTATTCTCTTGATTTATTTGTTGTAGAATTTTTGGAATTTTGCTGGTCTTTGTGGATGTGTCCCTCGTCATTGCAGACCTACTTACCACTGATCAAACAATGTATATTCCTTTGGCATATCGTTCAATTTCTTTATCGATTGGTTTATATTTTTTCATGGATGTCCTTCTTCGAATATTTGTAGAAGGGTAAGTTTGATTAATTTTTCTAAAAGCACATCAAGCTATTTTGTACTGCTATGAAAAGCATCCCCAAATAATTGTCAGGTCAACCCAACCAGATGTGTCCCTCTTTATTAAAACAAGTCTCCTAGAAGGCACGGTCCACAAGAGAAACAACAATCCAAATCCCAATTTATACTAGACTAGAGGCCCGGTACACAAAAATTTGTGCACTGGCAGGGGAGAGGGGGTGTGGGGGGTGTCCCTCAGCCCCACTTGTGCCCTCTCACAGTCTGGGACCCCTTGGGAGATAACCACCTGCTGGCTTAGGCCCGCTCCCCAGGTGGCAGATGGCAGGCCTGATCCCTCGGTGCCTGTCCCACCTCCCTGGGTCACGCACACAGCAGGGCCGATCTGGGGGTTGGGGCACCACCCCAGGTTTGGGTCACACATGGGATGTCCAGGCGGGCTGGCAGATTGCTGCTGCCCCGCCCGGCTGCCCTGGGTCGGGTCCCACACGAGACACCTCGGTGGGCCAGCGGATCGCTGCTGCCCTGCCCGGCTGCCCTGGGTCGGGTCCCACACGAGACACCTCGGTGGGCCAGCGGATCGCTGCTGCCCTGCCCGGCTGCCCTGGGTCGGGTCCCACACGAGACACCTCGGTGGGCCAGCGGATCGCTGCTGCCCTGCCCGGCTGCCCTGGGTCGGGTCCCACACGAGACACCTCGGTGGGCCAGCGGATCGCTGCTGCCCTGCCCGGCTGCCCTGGGTCAGGTTGCACACGGGATGCCCAAATGGAGGCCAGGCAGGCTGGCAGATCGCTGCTGCACTGCCTGGCTGCCCTGGGTTGGGTTGCACATGGTTGCCCGTCGCCCTGGGTCGCAAATAGCAGGCCCGGATGGTGGCGGGGCAGGCAGGATGGCACTGTCCCGCCCTGCCTGCAGTATGCAAATTAGCTGCCATCTTTGTTGGCGGTTAATTTGCATATCACGCTGACTAGCCAATGGGAGGCGTGGCAAAGGTATGGTCCATTACCATGTTTGTCTATTATTAGATAGGATTGGGCTCTAAAATTATTGTTGCAACTGGTCCTCTAGTCTCTGACAATGTATTCTAGATGGTTTCTTCAACAAGTAAACCTCTTTTGGGTTTGCAAAATGGAGCCAGACAGGAACGTGTCTACATACAAAATATTAATATTTGTATAAATATTAATATTTCATTAATAACTGAATCTAAATAAAAGCTGACAGTATGTTAAATAGAACATGAACAGCCCCTACCTCAATTAAAAGAAAAACTTTTGTCAAGGTCACAGGAGATCTGAGGCATGGTTATTCCATCAGCTTGGTACTGAGGCAGCAGCTGATTTTCTCTGCTTTCTGAGAAGGTGCATAGAGTGAGCCACGCCTTGGAGTTTTATTGCTGTGGGAGTTAGGGACTAAATTCCCCAGCCTTCTCCTTTCCTTGTGAACTATCCTAATGACTTTGAGTTAAGGATAGCTGCCCACTCCTAGGTCACTCAGAGGCTGAAAGGGCTACCCAGACTTGGGAAAAGCTTTCCCTGGAGCACCAGTGCCATGGCTGAAGTAGCCAATGTTGGGAGGAAGGTTAAGTGGGTAGAATTTCAGCATTGGTTAGGGATTGCTCTGCAGGTGCAAAGCCAGACGATAAGTTTGCAGGCCAAAGTTGTGGACCCTTCTTCCTCTCATAAGCTCCTGTTGTGCATTCTTCACAGTCCCAGTTGCTCTAAAAGTGTGTCATGTTCAGCTTCTATTGCCCAACAGTACTGCCAAACGTCCTACCTTTCTCTTGCACCTATGTGAAGGCAATGCTTGCCTCTTCTTTAATGGTTTGGTTATAGCCCATACTATACTTACATTGATAAATTGATGCTTTTTACACATATATTAATGAATATTACACCCTTAGTCTAGTTTATAAAATGAATTTTAAGTAATTTATTAAAGTAGAATGCTTAATGGGAATGAGTCAAATACTTTGTGTTCTTACAAATATCCCCATCTCTTCTTTGGGGAGCATAAACGTACTTTTTTGTTTTATACTACAGGATACTATCATATTTTTCTGATATATTTAATTCCATGGATGCTGCCATTATTGTAGTGACTCTAATAATTGATTTCAATTATATTTTTTCTGACTATGAGATTTTTAAAGATATTCCCAGGTAAGAAACATATGATTCATCTCTCTTAAAGATTTGTTCTTCATTTTCTGTGGCTTTCATTTTGTGTAATCTTTTAAACTTTGAATGTCCTGATTCTGTGCCAGATAAGTTGCTTGAAAATGAAATGTTTAGACTAATTTCCTCATACATGGAAACTAAAGACTTGGGAGGTCCAGCGAAGGGTGTACACTCTAAGTATCTTTCGTTGAATGAAGAAGATGGAACACCTGAAGAAAAAACTAGGGACTTTACCTCTGTAGTAACTTCAACTTCTCCACATTTTTAAAATCACACTATTAGAATTTGAGCTCCAACCACAAATGACACATGAAATTCCTAGTTTTTTCTACCAGAGAATATTGATTTGAGCATATGGAAAATTTTAATGACTCCAATGATGATTCTCTTTAAAACAGCAAATGGAACATAAAACTGGATGACATGGGTAGCAATACAGAGGTAGAATTTCCAGGATAGTGTATTTAAAATTAAGAAAGCTGAGACAAAGTTAGAACTGTTAGGGATTAGAAAACTAAAATGTGTATGAGACACTGATGGATTTTTCTTTTTGTTCTTCCTCTTCCTACTCTGGTAATGAGGAAAAGAAGGGCAAATGTGTACTGGGATGTAAATGTTGGGTTGGCTCACTAGGCCTATTCATTCATCAAATAGCTTCCTTCTTTCTGCTATCCAGCTTCCCAGGACTTCACTTCAGGTTCCGACATTATTTGACATTATCTGATAGGCTTTTAGAGTTGTTTGAAAATAACTGGAGCCAGAATGGTCCTCTGACCAGCAACCTCAGCATCACCTAAGCGCTTGCTAAAAATGGAAGAAGAAAAACACCTCAGCCCCATTCTAGACCTATGGAATCAGTATGTACACTCAAGTTAGGGAAGCACTAGTCCCCACCATCAGTTCTCTGCCATTGTGTTTCTTTCTGACGGTAGGCGGGACACCAGCTCGCCCATTGCGAAGTATCTCAACCTGCTGCCTGCCTGATGTGTTAGCAGCTGTAGAGAACCTCTGTTACTGATGGAAGTAACAGAGGTGAACAAGAATCCTCAGTTTGTATTGATGGGAAAAAGACTGAAAAATACTCATCTTAAACCACAAAAGTTAAATCTACAAATTCTAAGTGTCTATCATACAACTATTTCTCTAAACCAGTTTCTCAGCTTCAGCGCTATTGCTATTTGGGATCAGATTGTTCTTTATTATGGGGGCTGCCACTAGGTGGGGGGCTGTCACACACAATTGTGACAACCCAAAATATCTCCAGACATTGCCAAATGTCCCCTCGGTGGCTGGGTGGGAAACATGGGGTAGGAGGTGCAAAATTATCCCTTGTTGAGAACCACTGCTCTATACTTAGATCACATTGAGAAAAACATCGTTTCCAAAGCAAAAATTAGTCTTTCTAATTTATTGTTAGATTGGTAATTCTCCTTCGGTCTCTACGCCTTATCATTCTAATGAGAATTTTTCATCTGGCTTACCAAGAAAGACAGCTTGAAAAGTTGACCAGAAGGATGGTAAGTGGGCAAAACATGCTTATAGTTCAGAAAAATGTGTTTTAGGAAATACTGGCAAGGGTTATAGGTATCTATATAATGATCTTTATTTTTATGTTGATTTATGTTTTACAAATTAATGATTCTTTTAAATGCTCAGGTTTCAGGAAACAAACGACGATACAAGAAAGATGGATTTGACTTAGACCTCACTTATGTGACTGGTTTGTGAAATTTAACTGTTGATTTACTTAAATTGATTTCACTTTTTTGTGTGTGTAAGTAATTATGTGGGGTTTTTATTGTTGTTGTTCTTGCCTTCTCTAAGCCATGTTCTTTCAAAGCATTGTTTATCCATGAAGAAGTATGCCACTATGGTAGTGTGACATATTTGTAATTTAACCCTGACAGTGTTTTTATTGTCATCTCAAATAAGCCCTACTTGGTTACAATACAGGAAGTTGAATGGATTTTCAGATGACTCCATTTGTATGGTTTAGAATTTATTGAGTAGTTATTCTGGGTCCAAAGGATTCCAAAGAAACCTCTTCTTTTCCTAGAACCCCAGAGAATAAGGTCATTGCTTTGTAGATATCAGGTTTCTGAGTCAGGATCACTGGAAAGCATCTGGGCAGTTCCCAACATCCTTGTAGCCTGGATCTCTCATTTTCCTTTGGTGTTTAAGTAAAAAATAAATTCCCACTACAGGAGGAGCTCCAGACTGAGGTCAACACAAATCTGTTTGCATATGGCTGGAACCAACTGAGTTGGGAACACAGGGGAGTTTAATGGTTATTGTACTGGATAATTTACTATATTATCTTAATTATCTTGAGGGTTAGTTAGTTTTTTCTATCATTTTCAATCCTGAATTTTTTTTTCTGTGAAAAAGGAGTCTGGTTATTAGTAAATTAAGTTGTCACATATTGTTTGGCATCTATAATGACATTCATAATAGTGACTATTTTGACTTCCAGAACGTATTATTGCCATGTCATTCCCATCTTCTGGAAAGGAGTCTTTCTATAGGAATCCAATTCAGGTAAGGGTATTGATCTAACAAATGCTCATATTTCTCAGTAACCATAGACTGTGGCCCAAAGATGGAAGTATTTTACTAAAAATTTACTCTTTCAGGTAAAAAATTATAATGGATTGACATTAATTAGCTTTTTCTCTGTTGCACACCAACCAAAAACTTAGTGACTTATAATAGCAGCCATTGACTTAGCTCATGATAATGTGGTTTGTGAATTTGCATTGGGCTTAACTAGGTAGTTCTGGTGATCACAGACAGGCTCAGTTAATCTCAGTTGAGTTAACTCATTTATCTGTGGGCACCTACTGGGCATCTGAGGATTGGTTAAATGACTCCATGTGATATTTCATTCTCTAACAGGCCAGTGTGGGCTTTTTCACTGTGGCAGTGGCAAGGATCCCACAAGTAGCAAGCAAAAGATTGTAGAGCCCCTGGAGATCTAGGCTCAAAACTAGTATAATGTGGCTTCTACCACATTCTATTAGAAAAGCAAATTGCAAATCCAGTGCAGATTCAAGGAGTAAAAAACCGACTCCATTTCTTGATGGCAGGAATTGTAACAAATTGTGACCATATTTTTGTAGTCTATCATAGGGGGAAAGGGTGGGAATTCTTTAAAGTAAATAAGTAAAACATGTGTTCTTAGGTTGAGATCCAAAATTATAGTAGAGGCATACTGCTTTAGGTCTTGTGGATTAAGTAAACTAATTTCAAAGATAAAATTATGTGTACTATGAAATTTCAATTAAGTCATTGTTTAAGAAGTTTGCATAATGTGTGGGTATGTATACATTAGAGCAATTGACAGTATTTATATCTCAATAAAAATATAATATGTAATTATACATAATTATATGTACGTGTTTATGTGTGTATGTCTATATTCATACATATATAATTATACTTTTATTGAGGCATAAAAAACCTTGTAAGATGTACTGATCTTAAGTGTTTATCTTGATGTAATTTTATATATGTATATGCATGTAACCAACACCTCTATCTAGATATAAAACATTTCATGCTCTTTTTCAGTCAATATCCCAACACACTAAAAGTAATTCTAACTGAGTTAGTTTTACTTCTTATTGAATTTCACATAAGTGGAATCATACACTAACTACATCTTTTGTTACTGACTTTTTATGTTCAAAATAAGTTCTGTGAGATTCATCCAATATTGTTATGTGTAAGAAGTTCTTTTAATTTATTGCTTTCTAGAATACTGTATTGGAAGTCCAAGCATTCAGTTTACATGGAGAAATTATGACATTATACAGCACCTCACAAAGGCAGCAAATACATTACAGTTTACAAAAGCTACTCTACAAAATATTTTAAATTTGAATTATCTAAAGGTACAGCTGAAGAAACAGATATAAAACTGGCAACCAGTAATTTTGACTGTAGCTTACATGACTTTACATATATGAATTTGAAAATACTGAGTTTAGGGTAATCATTATGCTTTGTGCCTATATGAAAACTATTAAAGGCCCTGTGCATGAATTCATGTACTAGTGGGGTCTACTTGAGCCAATCGGGGCTGATTGGGCTGGGCTGGCCCCGGAAAGGGGGTGCAGGTTGGGGGGATCAATTGGGAGTGGGGCCAGCTGAGGGGAAGGGCTGCTGGGGGTTGGCCAGCTAGCCCCACCCCCTGGTTGAACTCCCGATTGAGGGGATAATTTGCATATTAGCCTTTTATTATATAGGATAATGCTGCCTGTTGAAGAATGAACAGTATAATACTGATTGTTAAAGAATCGTGTTCAAAATTATTTAATTCACTTCAAAATGTCATACAAATTATTATGTTTTTTATGTGCAATTAAATCTTCACTCATTTAGCTCAAGTACATTACTAAAGTAATATATTAAATTTTCCACTGCAGTGGTCTTTCACACCATTGACATTTGCATACTTTAGTATAAATTAGAAAGAAATGTGTGATATTCACAAATGTTCAGAAAAGCAAGCAAAAGGTCAATGAACTTGCCAGGTTCTTTGAGATAGTGTCATGTCAGCTTCATAAACATTCATTCTGTAAAATAGTTAGCTAATGTTTAAACACCATTTGCAAGATAAAACACATTTTCTCATAAATAATGAAGTCTTTTTATCAAGCACTAAAAAGTATACAAAATAATTTGAATTTGAGCAAGTCCTGGAATGTGTTCAGCCTAATATTTAAACAGACTTGTTTCCAGGGTTTCACAAGGACAAGATTTTAAATTGCTCAGAAGATTTAGAAGCTGCCTTGAGAGAGATGAACACAATCATTACCAATAGAAAAAGTAACCATTGTGTTTATCTCTTTTTTTTTAATATATTTTTTATTGATTAAGAAATTACATATGTGTCCCTGTCCCCACATCACCCTCCACCCCCCTCG